GGACACATGTAGCAGTTTGGACGGGACTGTCCTCCAGCCCAGTCCACTTCTGACTCTGTTTGCTTATCGTGTTCAGCACAAAGAAGCTCCTTTTTTTTCCAGTTAATCAAGCCGAACTGACAGACACTTGTTTTTTTGTTTTGTTTTTGTGGCTAAACGGACACATACTGTACACCTTCTACACGGTTTTACCTTCAACTATACTGTGAAATCATTCCAAATGCACTCTGCAGGAGACCGGAGGACAGAAAGGGCTCGGTTGTTTTCACGGGCAGTTTTTTTTTTACCTCGGCCGGAGCCTTTTTTCGGACCCCGCCCGTAAAAACCGGCAGCCACGCGTCTCACACGAAGCCTTCAGTCAGGGGTCAGGGGTCAGGGGTCAAACCTCACCCGGGCTCCAAATGTAGCAGGGCCACTGTCATTACCTCCAGGTCAAAGGTTAAGCGTTTGCTAATAGGGCCCAATGATTAAGGCCTCCGAGATGGTGACGGTGATTAATTATTTATCCTTCTGTCACAATGGAAGAGAATTAATGCCTAATGGGAGACGAGTGCCATCTGCCCTGGTTTCTCCTTAAGCTCTTCAGGTCTCGTGTGTGCTTCAAAGTTGTCGTTTTGTGCCTCGTTTCCACATATTTGACGCATAAAAAAGCACTTAACCAGGAACTCCTCAAGCTAAACTTCTTTCTTAAGCCAAAATCAATGCATGCCGAGCAAATCGTGCATCTGTAAAGCATCTTTTCCCTAAAAAAAAAAAAAAAAGTGAAACTAGCCTAAATGCGCTAGCGGTGCAGTTCCCAGGCTGACCAGTAGGGGGACCAAACGCGAACGTGGAAACGAAGCTTTAAAGCGACAATGAAAGCGTCACAGGACGGCAAACTAATGTACAGACCACCACAGCTTTTGCTTTTGCTTTGTATTATTTGCATAATGAGGTTTTAAAGGTATTTCTAAGCTTTTTAAATGTAGCATTTCCCGCCTGACGTCTCCACATTATGTCCAACTTGTAGGTTTTAATCGCATCTTACAAGGGATTTGTGTGTTTTCCCCCCCCAGACATGAAGCCGTGTCACACTTTGGAAATGTTGGGTGTCTGTCTCCGTGTTTTTCCTGGGTGGAAAAAGTCGTGGCAGCTGAGGAGTTTCAGCCAAAGCAAAAGCTTTGTCAAAAAAAAAAATTTTTTTTTAAATGGCTCATTGTTTTGTGATCATTTGTGGGTCGAATGAGCACTTTAAAATGTCAAATTCAGTTTAAGTTTGCTTCCTCTTTTGTGATTTGAGCTGCACAAACCTCCTCTTTTTTTTTAAAATTTGCATACATTTTTGTGTGTATGTGAACGGCCTTCATCCGTTCTTACTACCTCAGTAACAAAACGAGAAAAGAGCAAAAAAAAAAAAAACTACTGGGTGTTGCTCAGGTTGTGTTCAGAGGCCCCAGCATCAGGAAAAAGAGTCAGTGTGTGGGCGTGGGGCCCCTTTCTGCCCAGAGGAAACCCCGATTCCCCGGGGGGATCTCTCTTTTTGAGCCACTTTCCACCACGTCTGCTTTAAAAAGCGTTCATTTCCAAACAATTTTTGTTTGTTTGTGCGTTTCCCAGATAGAAACTCAGAGATTTGTCTCAGATTTGTCAGGATTTCTTGTTTTTTTTTCATTCTGGCAGCCTCGATTGTGTGTAAGCGTGAGAGTGTGTGAGCTTTTTAACTTTCAAAGTCTTTATTAACTTATTTCCAGTTTTTGTCTTTGTTTTTTTTATTGGGAAATGGTCATAGATTCCCTGTCATTTCTCAAACTAATTGTTTTTTTTGTTTTTTTTCTGAAACTATATCTTTGCACTACTTAAAACCTTAAAAGATAACTTCATTGTAACCTTTAGAAAAACACCTACATCCTTATTTGAGACGAGTCGTTTAATTATCTCTGGATCAAACGGCAGAGATGCAGATTTCTATCAGTTTTTAAATTGAGATTTAAAAACTGCTAGTTTTTTTGTACCCTCTGGGTTGAGATGAACTCAAATATAGCAAAACAAACATTAGTGTCTCACTGTGCTCAAGTAAATTTATCTAATTCACATGTCGCAGCTATAACAAAGTATGGAGTTATTTACTTTGTATATGCATGAATGTAACATAAGACTTATATGGTGTTATTGTAATTTGGCTGGTTTGTAACAGGCCAAAAGTGTAACAGATGCATGAGATCATATTCTTTCTGACATAATGTTTGTATAGAAAACGTTACCTAATTCCATTGCTGGGTTGCTGGTGCAGTGTTGCCTTTTATAATCTCGATTATTTTTATTTTATTTGTTAATGTGTGCTCAAATGAATAAAATGCTCACAAATGATTGTGATCTAAGCCAAAAACGACCGCTGGGGTGTTTGTTTTTTGGGATGAGGTGGAAGTGAAGCTTTCTTTGATAGTTACTTTTCACGCAAAATGATCTTTAAAGATTCTTGTTCATTCATTAAGAACGAACAAGTTTAATAACAAGTTTTATTTCAAAAATGAAAGTTGCATTCATTAAAAACCATTCTAAATATGTTTTTTTAATTTAATTACACAATATAGAATCTTACAGGCTCAGCAAATACTACAATTTAGCTTATTAACCAACTTTTGGATCATGTCGGCATCAATAATCTAATTTTTCTGTTTTTACTCAAAGGAAAGGTGGAAATGATCTAAATGATGACTACTTATTCTGCAAATCTTCTGTAAAAGTAAAGAAAAACCACCCAGAAAAAATTGGAAAAGTGGTGAAACTGGAAGATAAAGGGGATTAATTATGATAAATTAGTTTTAAGTAGTGTATTCGGTGTTATTTAGAGGATGAATTTGGGTTTCTGGGAGCCACTGTAATAAAAAAAAAAAACCTAATAGACACTGGTGTGTAACTTTACTACCTTTCTGTTTTAAAATTCCTCAATTTCAAATTGTAAAGCCCCGCCCACTCCCATCCAGCTCCCGGTGGAGGTCTGTAGTGAGGATCCAGCTCTCTGACCTGTCTCCACACTCAGCGTTTTGTCTCCTAATCCTCCTGTTTTCTGCATGCTAATCCTGCCTGTATATTTAATTAGCAAACACATAATTAAGCTCTTTGTTTCTACCTCGGTCAGCGCATTAACGGGTCCTCGGCCTGGAGTCAGCAAAGATTCATTAAGAAGCTCAAGCTGTGCTCAATCTGAGGAAAACAATTAGCATAAATCTAATTAGCATGTTAGATATCAAGAAGGTTTGAGCACCAATGCTAAAGGGACTTTTAAAACCCTTTTAAAGACTTAAACACTTTTTCTCTCAGGCCTTTGAGTGAGACTACGACTTTATTTTAGTTGTCTTAATTTCCCTCTCCTTACTTGGTTTTGTTTTTTATTAGATTTTTTTGCTCTTACTGTTTTTAATAGTTGAGTTTGTCTTGTGTTGTGGTGATAATTGTGTTTCATGATCTGCTCTAATGGCCTGTACAGCTTAGCTTTGATTTTAGCTTTGGCTGACTGAAAGCGCTTTATAAATAAAGTTGAGTTGAGTTGACCCATAAACGGGGCTTTTTAAGACCCTGTTTACAGCTTTATGAGTTAATTAGAGGATAGAACGAAATGCAGAGTTTAGTTTGATGTCTTCAGAAGCAGATTTGGGTCGTCAGCACACCTGTGTGAGCAGGTGTGTTCCTGATTTGACACAGATTAAATCTCAGAGGAAACATCTCCTCAGTGGTTTCTTTTTCATTGCATTTGAACTCATCTTCGGCTTTTTTTCAAATTCCTCTATCAAAACGGACGCCTTCCTCCTGTTCTCCGACCCGGCGGTGCCTTCAGGGACTCCAGTATCTGGTATTTAAAAACCACCAGCCTGACTCAG